CCCACTGTAAAATTTTTCTGCACAATATGCTTATTATGCCACATCTTGGTTTTCTCTTTGTAAATTCTGGTATTTTCATAAGCTTGGTGGCAAAACTCATCTAGCTCATTGATTTGAAGTACCTTTTTATAGGGATTTCTATAGCAACAAGCGCAGAATTACAAAAAAAAAAAAAAAAAATTGCTATGATAGGGTCCATAACCCAAGATCACGATTCGATAACTATAACCACAATATAATTAAACCATACAAAGTTAGATTTTATACCTTCGTTGGCGGTTCCTTCTCTGGATGTCTCCAAGGTATTGCTATTGACCCAAACTAGGATTGAGCATGGTGGTATCCACACAAAAGTAGGTCGGGGTCACTCTTGGATTGATTGTGAGATCAAGCCAAGAGCTTAAGAGGAGTGGGAGATTTGAGAGAAAATTCTCTCTAGGGTTGTAGCTAGGGTTTTGTGTTTGGGAGGTTTAGTTTAAAATTAAACTAAAACTTTGCTCTCAAAAGTTGTAAAATCAGCTTATGAAAAATCAAAACCCAAGTGCCCCTTTATAGTGCAATCCATAGTAGGAATTTAATAAGGATTGTGAATCTTCAAATTCCTTTTTAATTTGGATTGCAACTCTATAAGGAATTGGAATATCTCTAAAATATATTCTCCCATTAAATATGTTTCCCAATTAAATTAATAGTCCTATTTATTTAATTCCTACATAAATACATATTCCTAATTAAATAAATATTACTATTTATTTAATCATATATATATATATATAATGGGTTTTAATATATTAATTAAATTAAATATATTCCTCCATATTAATTAATATTAATAGGAATCCAATTTTGCTAAAGTTCATTCAATATAAATATTGAATATTGGCGTCAAACCTAGCAAAATTACCCAAATAACCTTTTCACTCAAAAGGACAAAAATACCCTTTTCCTCCCAAATTATAGAAATGCCCTTTTTGCACAAAGGACGAAAATGCCCTTCCATTCCGTTTTCTCTCTTAACTACATTTTATGAGGGTGACCTGAAGGCTCTTTATTTTGTTGGCAATGTCCCAATACCTAATTAAGCAGCAAGCAATTAGTGTTTCATACATCAGTTAGGATTGGCCTCTAGCAAGGCAACATGATTACCCATCAAATAAAGAATCAACGATTAGGCTTGCCTTTTCTATAGTATGGTTACCGTGCAATCCGATCCATTCATCATCTTATATCTCATCAAGGTTTGAAGTAAAAAAATAGTGTCTACTTCAAAGTATTGACCTTGACATGTTTATATTTGGTTGTCAAATCTATGACTATATAAAATTATATTCGAGCACCAACTCGATTCCACTGTGGCCACAAATTTGCGGTCGTAGTTTTTAACCAAATATCCCGCCAAGATAAGATCTCCTGTGACCAGGAGTGATGAATCCTTTGTTGATCCACCACATCCATAGTGTACTTCTCGATGTAACCAATCACCATCGGTTTGATAATCTCCAAGAGAGACGACGTTAGGCTAGTGTCAAATCACATCGCTATTTACACATGACGCTCTGGTGATCTCAAGTCGAATAATCACATGCACCACCATCCATAAGAAAATATGTTCCACAGACAATAGGTTTACCATCTTGTATGGAATCCTCTGATGGGTCATTCTAGTGGACTTGCACAAGCAAGCACCTATGCGTTGCATTAGATTGATGCCCACAACCTTAACATGTGAGATTTGCTACTACCTTTCAGTAGGGTCATTCAACGTGATGATAGTCTTTCCGTATAATCTGTGTCCTAGGTCAGAGTTATACTATGCCTACAAACAGTTTTAGAATGACCACCATATGTTCTCATAGAGTTCTTACAATTAAGATTTATAACATTTAATTTTGTCGTCACAGGTTTCAACCTTTCAAAGGACATATACTATTTTCATTATACACAATAAATAAATGTTATAGTATAGATGCTTGTAAATAAGCAATGCCTTTATTCATTATAAATAATGTTTACAAGAGGCAAATTATTGGCTCTAGTGCACCTACTCTAACATGTTAGAGTTTTAATCAAAGATAAACGTAGCGAAGAACAAAAATTTACCGATTAAACACTATAAGCCCCAAAATCCATATATGAGTATAACAAGTTTCATATGCTACAAATCAATCAATACCCATGAATGATTTAGAATCTTACCAACGTTTGGAGGCTCCACCTCTTTTCAAATTTGGATGAAAAAAGCTCATGATCCAAGTGTAAGACCGAACCAAGGATATCCACACAAAGGCAAGATTCAACACAAAATATTTACGAGATAATTTGTGTAGTCTAAAGAAGATGAATGAGATAAAGGGTTGAGAGAAAAATTCTCTCAATGAACCTTTGCTCTCCACAGCCAAGAGAAGAAGAATGAGAGATTATTTGATTTTTAGGGAAAACTGCCCTTTCATAGGGTTGCCCTGAAAATCCCTTGAAGGGTTATTTACCATAATGCCCTTCCACTAATTAAATCATTAGTGTCCATGATTGTAGAACAAAATCATGTACCGAGTATTGAGTCGTTATTACTTTTATCCTTTAATAACGTTCTTTCAATATTTAAAACATATATACACCCATGAAAATAGCATAATAGAGCAATTTTGCCTTTAGAAGAAACCCGAATAATGGGTAATTGATTTTTTTCTTTATTTCATTTTATTCTATTTTCCTTGCTTTTTCTTATTTTTTCTTCTCTCCTCTTCTTCTTCTTCACTCCATTGTTTCCTCTTTCTTCCTCTCTCCTTCTCCTTTTCTCTCTCCCCCCTCCCTTTTTTACTCCCTTTCTCTCTTTTTCTTCCTCTCCATCTCCTCATGCACTACTGTAAGCATCATTTGTGGCCAGATCCGATCAGTATGCGCTGTTCCGGCCACGTCAACCGTTGGTGGCAATGGTGGTTGCTAACCAATGGTGGTAGTTTTGGATGGCCTGCAATTTGTTTTAAATACAAGGGTATTATTGTCCAAAAACTTAATTAATTAGGGATAATATCGTAATGGCAGTTTCATGTATATTTATTTCAAAATAAGAGCATTATTATCCAAAATTTTATTAATAAGGGGTAAAATTAAAACAAAATTAACATTACCAAGTAATCTGAAAATACCTAAAAAAATGGAGGTGATCATATTACCAACTATATAACCAACAATAATTACTATTGGTTTTGGAAGATTACCAAAATCTTATATTATTTGACAACTAAGCATGATAATCTAAGTAATATAGGATGACATTGCCTCGGTAATGGGAAATAACCCCCAACCAAATGCCTCCGTAGGGCTAAATATATCATTTGCATAACAAGGGTATTTAAATAATGTGATATGTTAACCCCGCTTAATGGTCAAGAAGGTTTACTCTCTTCATTGTCTTCTTGAGTTCAAACTACCTTGGGGCCATGTACCACCTATTTGTGGTTTACCTTAAAATATTGGGCTTGTTGGATGTTCAATGGATCTTTGAGATTAGTTGAGGTGCGCGTAAACTGACTCGAATACTCCGGTCATATAAAAAAATGTTATATGTCTGTATTGTACTTAAGGATATAAAGGTAATTGCGACTAAGTCAAATTACCTCTGTTGACTTTGTGAAAGGGCTTCATGACAAAAACTTGATTTCAAGGGGTTTTTTCAATACCTCCTAAAAAAGTCGGGAGAGTTTTATACTTTCTAATCTCTCAGGTGATAATTTAAATACGTTACTATGGGGAGTAACGTAATTCAGTATAATTATGGGGGATTTTATAAACCATAAAAAAAAAATTATTGTATAATAGCTTCATCCAAACAACCTGAAACCNTAGAGTAATTTTGCCTTTAGAAGAAACCCGAATAATGGGTAATTGATTTTTTTTTCTATTTTCCTTGCTTTTTCTTATTTTCTCTTCTCTCCTCCTCTTCTTCTTCACTCCATTGTTTCCTCTTTCTTCCTCTCTCCTTCTCCTTTTCTCTCTCCCCCCTCCCTTTTTTACTCCCTTTCTCTCTTTTTCTTCCTCTCCATCTCCTCATGCACTACTGTAAGCATCATTTGTGGCCAGATCCGATCAGTATGCGCTGTTCCGGCCACGTCAACCGTTGGTGGCAATGGTGGTTGCTAACCAATGGTGGTAGTTTTGGATGGCCTGCAATTTGTTTTAAATACAAGGGTATTATTGTCCAAAAACTTAATTAATTAGGGATAATATCGTAATGGCAGTTTCATGTATATTTATTTCAAAATAAGAGCATTATTATCCAAAATTTTATTAATAAGGGGTAAAATTAAAACAAAATTAACATTACCAAGTAATCTGAAAATACCTAAAAAAATGGAGGTGATCATATTACCAACTATATAACCAACAATAATTACTATTGGTTTTGGAAGATTACCAAAATCTTATATTATTTGACAACTAAGCATGATAATCTAAGTAATATAGGATGACATTGCCTCGGTAATGGGAAATAACCCCCAACCAAATGCCTCCGTAGGGCTAAATATATCATTTGCATAACAAGGGTATTTAAATAATGTGATATGTTAACCCCGCTTAATGGTCAAGAAGGTTTACTCTCTTCATTGTCTTCTTGAGTTCAAACTACCTTGGGGCCATGTACCACCTATTTGTGGTTTACCTTAAAATATTGGGCTTGTTGGATGTTCAATGGATCTTTGAGATTAGTTGAGGTGCGCGTAAACTGACTCGAATACTCCGGTCATATAAAAAAATGTTATATGTCTGTATTGTACTTAAGGATATAAAGGTAATTGCGACTAAGTCAAATTACCTCTGTTGACTTTGTGAAAGGGCTTCATGACAAAAACTTGATTTCAAGGGGTTTTTTCAATACCTCCTAAAAAAGTCGGGAGAGTTTTATACTTTCTAATCTCTCAGGTGATAATTTAAATACGTTACTATGGGGAGTAACGTAATTCAGTATAATTATGGGGGATTTTATAAACCATAAAAAAAAAATTATTGTATAATAGCTTCATCCAAACAACCTGAAACCCAGGTTTAAATTGAATTGTGGTTTTGGTGAGACGCCGAATTGAGAATGGGCGAAGAAGAAGAAAAAGTAGCCTCATCCGTCCCTCCTTCGCCTCCTCCTCCTCCTCCTCCATTTGATCCCAGTCGAAGTAATAATTTCTCTCTGTATATATTAACTGGCCTTTATTAGGTTTTGCATTTAATGGTTTCTTTACCCAAACCAAATTTCTTGCCGCTCTTTTTTGTGTCTATTCCTTGAACTTATTAGTCATTCAATCTTCTACAGGCAATTGTCTGTATGACGAACGTTGGGACGCCCGTGATCCCGATTTCAATATTTATTTGAAATTATTATTATTATTATTATTTTTGGGTTTACTATATGCAGTTTTCTTTTAGATTAAAATAATAAAATTGGTTTATAAATCATTAAGTATTATGGTTTTGATGGGCAAAGATTATTAAAAGATTATGTTAATGAAATTGCAATAAGGTGGGAAGGTGTTACTGATTTATTTATCTTATAAGTGTGTTTTCTGTGGTTGAAGTGATTGGTATCATCAAAAGGAAGGCTTTGATTAAAGAATTGGCTGCCTTATACCACGCAGAGTGCCTTGCTTACTGTCAACAACTTTTGGAACTTCAAAAAAAATGGGAAGAGGTTAGATTGATACCTTCTGCACACTTTTTGTATGCATTATCTGATTTTTCAAGTGGTTTTAATAGCTATTTATTTTATAGGTATATCAACTCATTAAGTAATACTGCAATATGATCCATGCAAGAGAAAACTCTTCTGTTTACTGGTTATCAAGTCCTTAAAAATGTTAGGCGCGAAATATGATTTGCAAATCATATACCAAAGGGAGTGACAGAAAAAGACTTATAGAATGGCATAGCTAAATAGCTCAGGAATAGTCCTAAATGGCTGAACATGCTTTTCAACATTAGTTCAGTTTGATGATTACATTACCATTACCATGAAATCCAAACAAGTAAAGTTTTGTGTCCAACTGTTGAAATACTGCCAAGCCGTGTACAAACTTAATGGTGTGATAGTAATCTAGAAAAAGTACGAGAATAGTTAATTATAGGATGAAGGTTTTTGAGTTTTGAGTTAGTTTATAACGATTTCTGTAAACTAAACTCTAGCTTCAAAAGAAAAATAAAATTGAAACTGATTTGTGAAAATGCCAATTCTGAACTCAATTTTAAGTTTCTGTTGAACTGAAGGATAATAGTTCAGGGACTCTGATATAATTTAAAAGTTCTGCTGAAAGACAAATCAAAGGATAGAACTCCACATTTGTTGAATGTTTTCTGGTAAATTTTGGTTATTACTTTAAGGTCCTTAAGTTTTTGCTAAAGCAGACATTGTTCCATGATCTCCAGGAATAACAAACTGATTGAAGAATATATTGGACATTTGAAAAACTGTTAGCTGAAATAGTGCTTATCATAAAGGAATAAAAAAAATCCTTAGTAGTTGATTGAAATGACTAATTAAACCTGAAAAAGATATGTTAAAAAATCTTTATTTATAAAATACAGTACATGGAATATTTAACCTACAAATCAAAAAGACTGGAAAATAAAAATTGGGAGAACCCACTGCCACTCTATGATCAACACCTTAAAATATGGGCTTGTGAATGTTTAATGGACTTTTGGGATTAGTTGAGGTGCGCATAAACTGACTCGAATACTCCGGTCATATAAAAAAAATGTATATGTCTATATTGTACTATAGGATATAAAGGTAATTGCGATAATTCAAATTACCTCTGTAACTTTGTGAAAGGGCGTCATGACAAAAACTGTTCAGTGGTTTTTTCAGTACTTCCCAAAAAAGTTGGGAGAGTTTATACTTTCTAATCTCTTAGGTGATAATTTAAATTCGTACTATGAGGGCAGTAACCGATATTCAGTGTTTTTCAATTAACACCTCCATTTGCTTCCTAAACCAAAATAAAGTAATAATGAGTACAATTAGGAAACAAATACGTATAAAAGACTAAACATTAAGGGGGTTAAATATGAAATTTTGCATTCCCATCATACACCAATTAAGATTAGCCTCTAGCAAGGCAGCATGATTACCCAGCAAATAAAGAATCAACGATTAGGCTTGCCTTTTCTACAGTATGATTACCGTGCAATTCGATCCATTCATTATCTTATATCTCATCAAGGTTTGAAGTAAAAAAATAGTGTCTACTTCAAAGTATTGACCTTGACATGTTTATATTTGGTTGTCAAATCTATGACCATATAAAATCAGATTCGAGCACCAACTCGATTCTACTGTGGCCACAAATTTGCGGTCGTAGTTTTTAACCAAATATCCTGCCAAGATAAGATCTCCTGTAACCAAGAGTGATGAATCCTTTGTTGATCCACCATAGCCATAGTGTACTTCTCGATGTAACCAATCACCATCGGTCCGATAATCTCTAAAAGAGACGACGTTAGGCTAGTGTCAAATCACATCGCTATTCACACATGACGCTCTGGTGATCTCAAGTCGAATGATTACATGCACCACCATCCATAAGAGGATATGTTCCACAGACAATAGGTTTACCATCTTGTATGGAATACTCTGGTGGGTCATTCTAGTGGACTTGCACAAGCAAGCACCTATGCGTTGCACCAGGTTGATGCCCATAACCTTAACATGTGAGATCTACCAATATCTTTCGGTAGTGTCGTTCAATGCGATGATAGTCTTTCCGTATAATCTGTGTCCTAGGGTAGAGTTATACTATGCATACAAACAATTTTAGAATGACCACCATATGTTCTCATAGGGTTCTCACAATTAAGATTTATAACACTTAATTTTGTTGTCACAGGTTTCAACTTTTCGAAGGACATATACTATTTTCTTTATACGCAATAAATAGATGTTATAGTATAGATGCTTGTAAATAAGCAATGCCTTTATTCATTATAAATAATGTTTACAAGAGGCAAATTATTGGCTCTAGTGCACCTACTCTAACATGTTAGAGTTTTAATCAAAGATAAATGTAGCGAAAAACAAAAATTTACCGATTAAACACTATAAGCCCCAAAATCCATATATGAGTATAACGAGTTTCATATGCTACAAATCAATCAAGATCCATGAATGATTCAGAATCTTACCAATGTTTGGAGGCTCCACCTCTTTTCAAATTTGGATGAAAAACACTCACAATCCAAGTGTAGGACCGAACCAACGATATCTACACAAAGGCAACATTCAACACAAAATATTTATGAGATAATTTGTGTAGTCTGAAGAAGATGAATGAGATAAAGGGGAAAAATTCTCTCAATGAAACTTTGCTCTCCACAGCCAAGAAAAGAAGAATGAGAGATTATTTGATTTTTAGGGAAAATTGCCCTTGTATAGGGTTGCCCTAAAAATCCTTTGAAAGGTTATTTACCACGCCCTTCCACTAATTAAATCATTAATGTCCATGATTCTAGAACAAAATCATGTACTAAGTATTGAGTCGTTATTACTTTTATCCTTTAATAACGTTCTTTCAATATTTAAAACATATATACACCCATGAAAATAGCATAATAAAGTAATTTTGCCTTTAGAAGAAACCCGAATAATGGGTAATTGATTTTTTTCTTTATTTCATTTTATTCTATTTTCCTTGCTTTTTCTTATTTTTTCTTCTCTCCTCTTCTTCTTCTTCACTCCATTGTTTCCTCTTTCTTCCTCTCTCCTTCTCCTTTTCTCTCTCCCCCTTCCCTCTTTTACTCCCTTTCTCTCTTTTTCTTCCTCTCCATCTCCTCATGCACTGCTGTAAGCATCATTTATGGCTAGATCTGACCGGTATGCGCTATTTCAGCCACGTCAATCGTCGGCGGTAACAATGGTTGCTAACCAATGGTGGTGGTTTTGGGTGGCCTGCAATTTGTTTTAAATACAAGGGTATTATTGTCCAAAAACTTAATTAATTAGGGATAAAGTCATAATGGCAGGTTCATGTATATTTATTTCAAAATAAGAGCATTATTATCCAAAATTTTATTAATAAGGGGTAAAATTGAAACAAAATTAACATTATCAAGTAATCTGAAAATACCTAAGAAAATAGAGCTAATTAGATTACCAACTATATAACCAACAATAATTACTATTGGTTTTGGAAGATTACTAAAATCTTATATTATTTGACAATTAAGCATGATAATTTAAGTAATATAAGATGACATTGCCTCGGTAATGGGAAATAACCCCCAACCAAATGCCTCTGTAGGGTTAAATATATCATTTGCATAACAAGGGTATTTAAATAATGTGATATGTTTACCCTGTTTAGTGGTTAAGAAGTTTTACTCTCTTCATTGACTTCCTGGGTTCAAACTACCTTGGGGCCATCTACCACCTATTTGTGGTTTACCTTAAAATATTGGGCTTGTTGAATGTTTAATGGACTTTTGGGATTAGTTGAGGTGCGCATAAACTGACTCGAATACTCCGGTCATATAAAAAAAATGTTATATGTCTATATTGTACTTAAGGATATAAAGGTAATTGCGACTAATTCAAATTACCTCTGTAAACTTTGTGAAAGGGCGTCATGACAAAAACTTGATTTCAAGTGGTTTTTTCAGTACTTCCCAAAAAAGTTGGGAGAGTTTTATACTTTCTAATCCTCTTGGTGATAATTTAATTCGTACTATGGGGGAGTAACGTAATTCAGTATAATTATGGGATTTTATAAACCATAAACCATAATATGTGAAAGGGCGTCATGACAAAAACTTGATTTCAAGTGGTTTTTTCAGTACTTCCCAAAAAGTTGGGAGAGTTTTATACTTTCTAATCTCTTAGGTGATAATTAATTCGTACTGTGGGGAGTAACGTAATTCAGTATAATATGGGGGTTTTATAAACCATAAAAAAAAATTATTGTATAATAGCTTCATCCAATAACCTGGAACCCAGGTTTAAATTGAATTGTGGTTTTGGTGAGACGCCGAATTGAGAATGGGCGAAGAAGAAGAAAAAGTAGCCTCATCCGTCCCTCCTTCGCCTCCTCTTCCTCCTCCTCCTCCTCCTCTCCATTCGATCCCAGTCGAAGTAATATTTCTCTCTGTATATATTATGGCCTTTATTAGGTTTGCATTTAATGGTTTCTTTACCCAAACCAAATTCTTGCCGCTCTTTTTTGTGTCTATTCCTTGAACTTATTAGTCATTCAATCTTCTACAGGCAATTGTCTGTATGACGAACGTTGGGACGCCCGTGATCCCGATTTCAATATTTATTTGAAATTATTATTATTATTATTATTTTTGGTTTACTATATGCAGTTTTCTTTAGATTAAAATAATAAAATTGGTTTATAATCATTAGTATTATGGTTTGATGGGCAAGATATTAAAAGATTATGTTAATGAAATTGCAATAAGGTGGGAAGGTGTTACTGATTTATTTATCTTATAAGTGTGTTTTCTTGTGTTGAAGTGATTGGTATCATCAAAAGGAAGGCTTTGATTAAAGAATTGGCTGCCTTATACCACGCAGAGTGCCTTGCTTACTGTCAACAACTTTGGAACTTCAAAAAAAATGGGAAGAGGTTAGATGATACCTTGCACACTTTTGTATGGATTATCTGATTTTTCAAGTGGTTTTAATAGCTATTTATTTTATAGGTATCAACTCATTAAGTAATATTGCAATATGATCCATGCAAGAGAAAACTCTTCTGTTTACTGGTTATCAAGTCCTTAAAAATGTTAGGCGCGAAATATGATTTGCAAATCATATACTAAAGGGAGTGACAGAAAAGACTTATAGAATGGCATAGCTAAATGGCTCAGGAATAGTCCTAAATGGCTGAACATGCTTTTCAACTTTAGTTCAGTTTGATATTACATTACCATGACCATGAAATCCAAACGAGTAAAGTTTTGTGTCCAACTGTTGAAATCACGCCAAGCCGTGTACAAACTTAATGGTGTGATAGTAAGCAAAAAGTACGAGAATAGTTAATTATGGATGAAGGTTTTGAGTTTTGAGTTAGTTTATAACGATTTCTGTAAACTAAACTCTAGCTTCAAAAGAAAATAAAATTGAAACTGATTTGTGAAATGCCAATTCTGAACTCAATTTTAAGTTTCTGTTGAACTGAAGGATATAGTTCAGGGCTCTGATATAATTTAAAGTTCTGCTGAAAGACAAATCAAAGGATAGAACCCACATTTGTTGAATGTTTTCTGGTAAATTTTGGTTATTACTTTAAGGTCCTTAAGTTTTTGCTAAAGCAGACATTGTTCCATGATCTCCAGGAATAACAAACTGATTGAAGATATATTGGACATTTGAAAAACTGTTAGCTGAAATAGTGCTTATCATAAAGGAGTAAAAAAAATCCTTATAGTTGATTGAAATGACTATTAAACCTGAAAAAGATATGTTAAAAAATCTTTATTTATAAAATACAGTACATGGAATATTTAACCTACAAATCAAAAAGACTGGAAAATAAAAATTAGGAGAACCCACTGCCACTCTATGATCAACGAAATAGAAATCCAGATAAAAAAAACTAGAAAAGAAGAAAAACCAATAGATCTGCCATAGACAACATCACTCTTCATGAACTCACCTCCAGTAGAAACAAAATCCTAACAAACCCATTGACCAAAGAAGCCAAAAACAACAAAACTGAATAACAAACACCATCCCCGAAACCCAAATCACCACCATTAGTTTCTGCCTTCACGAAGCCAGCTATGTCTGTATCGCCATCAAGATCCTTGCAAATTTTGATCCCTTTCCAGCTGGCATCAACTTGCCTCCATGATGAAAAACAAATCATAAAGCAGATAAGAATGAACCTAACTGCTAATGTCATCAAGCCCAATTGTTTCCCCAAGAAGAAACCACATAGTATTTTTTCGAGATCTGAGATTGACCTTGGAAAACAGATAATCTTTTGATTCTGGAAAGTTTTTTATTTATTTGGATGGTGTCTTGTGTTCTTTAGTTAGTCAAGATTGAATGGTGCAATTTGAATTTGTTGTTTTGAGACTTGTGTGAAAGAGACTCCAGGAGAAAGAGTTTGTAAAATAAAATGACTGATATATATATATATAAATGATTTTTTTTTTTTTTTTTTTTTTTTTTTGGTCGCATGGCGTTATCTTTTTCATGAAGATGTACTTAAAATTTTCAGATGTAAAAGAAAAATTGGTATGCATAAGGAAGCAGTGGATGAAATGTATAAGTTTTAAATCTCCAGAGGATTGGTATGCTTTTATCATATTTAACATAGAATAGTAAAGAGCAGCCAAAAAATAATTAGAAATGTAAGACTTTGTTGCTGTTGACGGTTCTCACCTCTAGGCTCTGGTGTCACTTTGTTATTTTATGAAAAAGATTATCATGGGGGATTTTTACTAAAAATTGCCTGACTCCCTCAACCCTTCCTCCTCTCTGCTCTTTCAATGGATTGGTGGAGGGTGGGCATGGCATGTGATTCTTGCTGAACATAAATCCTTATGGACAATGGATACAAGTTTTCTGTTTCGTATTCTTGTACATATGTATAAAGATCTTTGTGGACAGTGGAATTGTATACATTCATAGTCACATATGTGGAAACATGCATTGTTAATATTGCCAATAGAAAAATTTCTCGTGACAGTTAATTTTTAATGTTTGTGTTCATTGTTGAACTATCATGATCTTCTTCATTTCTATATGTTTTTAAAATTCTTGCAGCCATTTGTGGATACAAAGACTCCTGATGATTTACGGAAAGAAACAATGAAGCCCCCCAAGCGTCTAAAGAAGACCCGTTGAGGGTATTGTAAGAGTTGAATCTAAATCTTGTGCCGGTTCTGCAAAATATGCAATGTTAAAATGTTTTAACATCATTCTGGAATTCATATTTTCTTGGTGATGGATGTGCTCACTGACAGGTTTAAAGATGCTATATCATCTCTGACCACTTAATACTGAAAGGCAATAGCTAGGGAGGGAAAGGTCTATAATTATGTTGTTACTGTGTATAGTAAACTCCAGTTACATTGTTTTGGATTATGATTATTAAAAACATAAATGTGAAGTGTGCCGCCGGTGGACCAAACCTTTTCTTTTGCTTACTATATTTGGTTTTAGGGCAATTGCCTAGCACCTTCCCTAAGCTGTCGATAAAACCCAGTTAAATATCCCGCGAATTTGAAAAGCCTAAGGAACATTTTGTAGAATTGTCACCTCCCCTTTGAATTGGTGATACCATATACTAATCACAGAAGAAGCAAATTAGTGTTTTGCTCAGCTTAAACTGCCACCAGAACAATAAGTTGATTCATTTCTTTATTTGTTTTCGATAATCCAAAATTGGAATCCAACAATAATTTAGCAAGTTCAAGAACAGTTCTTTGCCGGAAATTATTGGTCACATTGTTTGTTGTAGTGGTATAACCAAAAAAGAGTTTTCGGGCCGGGCTGAATTATTATTATTATTTTGTTAAATATATAAGGCTTATGTATAACTATTCGTGAAATTTTTATGAACGAACATGAGGAAATTTCATTAACAAAGAAAAGTGTATACACGTGGTGGGGATACGCAATAAATCTTACCCCTCCAAATGCATTACAAATAAATGAGACTGGAAAAAACGATTATAACTCAAATTTACAAGCCTCAGCGTTTTGTTTAATAAAATTATTTCTAATACAGTTTGGATTTTTGAAAAGCAATTTACTAAAATTAGTAGATATTTTTATCTTGTACGATAACAATAACAAACATATAATTAAATATGTTTTGTTGTTGTAATTTCAGTGGTGCTATTTAATAACTAACTCAAGAAAAAGATAAAGTAAACAAAGTAATATTTATAACACTCTCCCTTGGACATCCACCATTTATAGATAATTTGTATTTAACCCTCTGTTTTAAAACCCGGACCGGACCAGCCGGTTCGACCGGGAGCCGGCCTTTACTCTGGTCCGGGTTAACATAAAAACCGGGAATGTCATTAAACCCATTTTGGACCGGCAGAACAGTACAAAACCGTTGGTCTGACTGGCTCGCGGCTTAAAACAGTTCGCTATGTTTGGGTATCTGATCCTAAAAAATTCATATTCCTAATTCCTAAACCAATTTGCAGCACCATTTCATTCTCCATTTCATTTGAATAAGAAAACCAAATTGCATCTTCCATTTTCATCTTCTATTCTTCTTCACTTACTCTAAAATCTACAGTGTAAAGAAGAAGAAGAAGTAAGGGGAGGGGAAACAAGAAGAAAGAGAAGAGGAGACAAGAGAAAGAGTAAGGAAGAAGATTAGAAGAAAGAAAAGAGGAGACAAAAATTACAGTAGAGAGACGCGAATGTGTTAGAAGAAAGAAGAAAGAAGAAAGTGACGGGGAGTGATGGGGAGAGAGAGAGAAAAAAGGAGAAAGAAGAAAGTGTTAGGGAGTGAAGTGATGGGGAGAGAGAAAAAAATAATTAATAAAATATGCAGGTTGCATTTGCTTTATTTTAAACTTATAGGGGCTTATAGGTAAGTTTTAGGGATGTATTTGCTGGTTTTCAAACTTATAACAATTAATGGAATTGTTTAAAGAATTGTTTAAAGATGTGTTTGCTATATAATGGTTAGATTGACCGGTCCAACCAGTTTGACCGGTCAACCCGCGAACTGGCCCCTTGACTGGGTCAACGAGCGGTCTGGTATTTAAAACAATGATTTAACCTTACTCAAGAAAAACCTAGTGGGACAAAACCTAAGTAAAAAAATACAACTCTATAATGAATCTGTAAAGTAAAGTTGGATGTGCTTCATATTGCCTAATTAAAAACATTGTCAGGAAAAAAAGAGTACATTGCATATATGTCCAGTACAATAAACCTTTCTAAAAAAAAAAAAAAAAAAGTTCCTCTAATCAATGCTCTTCTTGATCAATACTCCCCCTCAATATGGTAAAATTAATTTAGTAACTTATTAAGCTGTTGCATACCAATGCTATAAACCCCGCGTTATTATTCCGATGCCCTAAGGTATGAAATTTACCTTTTCAAGTAATTTTCTTTTTTTGAATGGAAGGGTAAAATGGTCAATTTACATGTATTTCGAGATGTGGCCATTATAAAGTGTAAAGGGTGATGTCATTGAAGAGAAATGAGGGTAGAATGGTCATAAAGCTGACTGATAAGGTTAAATGGCATAAACGGTAACCAAGGGTATAATGGTCTTTTCATACAAAACCATATGATTAAGTGTCCATAAAAGTGCACCAAGGGTAAATTAGTCATTCACCTAATGGGATTGCTTAATGTTTAAGTATTTTAAAGAAGTCAAATGGCATTAAATGAGTGCTTATCTTTATGTTGTGGTGGAAATGACCAAAACGCCCTTATATGAAAAATTTATGCCAAATGACCCTTATACCTAACTTTTATTGACCAATCACATTAGAGCAAAAATTGAATAAATATTTACAAGGTTTAAAGAGAGAGTAGTCGGCCTTGTACACCCCAAACATATCATCTTCTTCTTCATCTCTCAAATCCACCATAAAAGCCACTAATCCAAGCTTTTATTCTCAAATTTTCTTAGGATTTCAAGTTGATTTTCAAAGGAGATCACCATCCACCCTTAAAGAACTTCAATTTCAGGGTTAAAGGTGAGTTTCAAAACCCTAGTTTTTCTGAATTTTTTAGTTAAAAGAGAAATTCATAAGTGGTTATGTGTGTAAGGTAGAAAGGTGAAACTTTGGAGCCAAGGAGGAGTACCTTTGTGCTTTGAATACTAAGGTAAGGAAAAAATCTCCCTTATGACTACAATTGATAACACCTAGGGTTTATGAAACTTACATTTATTTATGTTAATATGAGTGTGATGCTATGTTTTGGTTATGAGTTGTTTAAATGGGTGTGTTGATTGGTGTATGTGTGCATATGGAGGATGATTATGCCAATTAAGAGATTTGTAGTTGGACGATGTTTTGGCACTTTTTGGTTCTGTAAAAAGGGAGGTTTTTATGGCCTTTTATACTTAGAATGATATGGCAAATAATATGAATGTGCAAATGAAGGTGACATGGTTAAAATGAATAGAATTCGGATTTGGCTGTTTTAAGACTTATACTGTACATGCTTCACTGAATCAGTCATAACTGAAGTTATAGAAGTCCGATTGAGTTGATTCTTGAAGTGTTAAAAATTTGAGAAACAGACCTAAAACTTTTATGTTTTAGCCAAAAATAAATTCGAATTAGAAGATAATGGAAAAATTGCTTGAAAGTAACGAACTGTATGGCATCCACCTTCTTAATGGAAATTCCCATTTGTTTCTAATTCTAGTAAACCCCTGAATAATCTTACTACTGAAATTCTTTGTATTGTATGAGAAATTGAATGAATTAAGTTAAGAAGTTTAGTAGGAGAATATAGTATGATTGAGCATGGAATATGTTAGTCCATATGTTTGCATTCATAATGGTAATGCATATAGCTTATTTAGTTGTCTTATGAAAAATTTATGAAATGTTAAAGAATGAATTCCATGAGTCTCTTGAGGTATAAACCAAGATCAGAGGAATGGAATTCTTATGGAAACCATGAGTCCTTTGAGGTGACGACCAAGAACAAGGTAATGGTTTAAATGAATCCGATCGGATAACAAAGACTAATGAAACCATCAAGTATAAAGACAAAAGAAATAAGCATGCCATGTACATGAATATTTCATAAGTCATATATGTTCTATGTTATATTATGTATGATTATGTTATGACTTATGTTTATGAGAAAAGTCCAAAGTGTATGATATGTTTTATGAACTTGTTATGTTAAAGAATGAAGGTCATATTTTGTAGGTAGGTAAGGTCCTAAGTAATATACTTGTATAATGAACCTTAATAGTTTTTAAATGGCCATATTCCTTACTGAGCGATTAGCGCTCACCCACGAAATGTTTTAAAATGTTTTGCCTGGATTAAGGCATGAAGCTGGGAGAGGATTCCGAGGGACGCTATGAGCATGAAGGGATGTTTTAATGATGACTATTGAATAGTTTTGCTAATATTTAGTGTAGTAATTATGTTCATATTTCATAATGTAGTAAATATGTCCATGTTCTATAATGGAGTAAATATGTTGTATTAATAAAGGAAATCAAATTACTAGTAAATTTTGTAAAAGTATATATGTTCTAGTAAGTATTACTATGGATTTCATAATTTACTTCAAGAAATGAAACTATATTTCTTTTTTGACTTATACAATGAACTTATTATAGTTTAGAAATTGAATTAATAAATAAATATAAATAAATATGTTTATAAACTACAAATTTATTCTTTAAATAGGATTTTAAAATAAACTTCTTTTCTAGGCGTGCGTTTTCTAGGTTCTCAATGGCCAAGGGATACTTAGGAAATACCCGGCTAGGGAGGGGTTTTACAAATGCCATACACTAACTTTTCAAATGTTGATGTCGACAAGGCCTTATTGAATAAATATGTAAGATTATCATTGGAGCGTATTTGTTTGACATTAATCTCTCACTTTTGCTCGGTTTCATGAATGTAAAAGAACTTCAATGAAATATGCTTAATTTTGTCTCCTTTGATATATCGTCCTCCGACTTGAGCAGTACAGGTTAAATTGTCTTCATTTATAATTGTGGAAGTATCTGAGGTATGTGGCAACTTGCATGTATTTTCGATATGATGGATGACAGATCTTAACCATACGCATTTTCAACTAGCTTCATTAAGCGCAAGAATCTCAGAGTGATTAGAAGAAGTGGCAACCAATGTCTGTTTTGTAAAGCACCATGATATTGCAGTGCCATTAAAAGTAAAAACATATCTCGTCTGTGAGTAGATTTATGAAGATCAGAAAGGTACCCAAAATATGTATAGCCAACTAACTCAGGATCATTAACAAATTTCTTTGGATAAATAATCCTAAGTATTTTGTTCCACTAAGGTAAGAAAAGACATGTTAATCCCATTTCAATGTTAGCAAGTTGGTGCAGAGCTAAATCTTGCCTATAGATTTACTACAAATGCTATGTTTGCTCTCGTACATTGTGCCAAATATAAAAATGCACCTATTGTATTTAGATATGGTACTTCAGCAA